TACTGTATGTGTGTATAATTATTTTGTATATATAAATACACACACATGCACATATATATATTTAAGAAATATTTGCATGTATATATTTTATATATATATTTATACAAAAATATTTGATATATTAATAACACATTTTTCTTAAATATAAACATACATACGTGTGTCTTTATATATACAAAATAATTACACACACTACACACACACATATTATGCAAACACAAACTTTTATTTTGGATGTGATAAATCACGATTAATCGTTTCACAGCCCTAAAAGCTACATATATATATATATATATATATATATATATATATAAATGATAAATGATATTGGCCATATTTATTAATTATCAGAATCGGCTGATATGATATGAATGGCAGCATTTTCCCACTTCATGAGGTGAAGGTCTCTCTTAATGAAAAAGTATTATAGCGTTAATTTTATAGAAACAGAAACAAGTAGTTGCCATCTAAAGTATAACTTTTTTTATCAAGTTCAACTTTTAATAGAATTCATTTTCAAATTATTTTTTTCTAATTCGGGTTTGTCAGGTTGTGAAATGCTTTGTTGCCTCTCAGATCAAAGTTTTTATGTTGTGATTCACCTCGTAACTTGATTAGTTTGGTTCAAGGATATAACTCTGCAACAGACTTCCTCTTTATCCCAATGTGGAAAGTACTTTTCGAACCAAGGCTTCTTATGATGTAACAAATCAAATTTAATTGCAGTAAAAATGCCAAGTATGTTTTTGCTATCTTCAAGTTCAATATTGTGATGTCAGCCATCAGCTCTCCAAGATATCGGCATCTGCATTGGCCATCAAAAAATGTACATAGGTCGGCCACAAATCCAGTTTTACTATTATTTGTTCTGAACAATTTAAACCAATCAAACAGTCTCTCAGACCCATGTAAGAAAAAGAAACCCCTTTGTTTGAAAGTCAGGAGGCAGCGGAAGTTAAAATGAAGTCATCTTACTAGTCTTATTACATAAGCTCCTCTCTTTGTTTATTTAAATACATAGACTACTTAGAACAATGATTCAGACAAAGAGAGGAAACTAAGCTTACATATATTGCTGCAAAGGCAACATGGCATGAAAAGAGCGGCTCCACACCAATATAAACAAAGCTCTCTAACAGATCTACAAAATGCTCCTCCAAGAACACTATTTTCTTTACTGTAATGACATTTGATGCAAAAAGGAAGTTTGGGACATATCTTTTTTGTTTTAGTAACATCATAAATCACACATTTTGATAACATCACAACGAAGGACCATGATTAGATACTTGTGTAGTTGTAATAGTGGGAGGGGCATTCTCATTCTCAAGAGCATCTGATAGGACAGACGTGTACACACCCCTGAGTGCAATACTGTTGCCCACTTTTTCAGAAGCCTTGGTTCGAAAAGTACTGTTTCCACATTGGGATAAAGAGGAAGTCTGTTGCAGAGTTATATCCTTGAACCAAACCAATCAAGTTACGAGGTGAATCACAACATAAAAACTTTGATCTGAGGCAACAAAGCAATTCACAACCTGACAAACCTGAATGGCCTTAATGAAGAATTGCAAACGACAATCAAAATAAAATGATGGATAAATATATATAAAACTATTAAATATGTTATGTATATAGAAAACAATATCTATGGCATTGACAGCATGTGCATATATATATATATATATATATATATACATACATATACTTTAGGGATACACCGATATGAACATTGTAGCCGATACAATATTTATTTATTTGAAAGCTGATAACTAATATATTGGCAGATTAATCCAAATCTTTATATAATTTTTGAGAGCCTAATTACAAAAACAAAATTCTCACCATTAAATCCATGTCTCAAGCACAGAGTTATAATTATTTTCTCATTATAATTTTATGTAGCCCATATGACAGACTTTCAATCATTCACTTTCACAAGTTTAATTTAATTATATTTTCCGTTTTTTAATGATTCCAATATCCAATTATATTTCAAGTGATTCAAAACCATCATGGCGAATACCTGCATTAAAGGAAATATTCCATTATTTATTGGCTTTAATATATCGGCCGATAACAATAACATTAAATATTAACATAACGATATGGTGGCCGATATATCGTGCATCCCTAAAATATATTTAAGTAGAATAATAGCATAGGTTTATTAAGCTATTTGCAGTGCTTTTTAGCAGAATAATCACTAATGTATGTCCAGGAATTCCACTGTTAAACATGATTTAAAAAATAAATTAAAATAATTAGGACTAGTTGCTTCAACAGAAAGATATAACATAAATTAACAGAGTAGGTCTGTCTTTAAAGTCACCATGAAATCAAAATGGACAATACTTTTTTTTTATGAAACATCGCCGTATCTATTATAAATGATTCATCGATGCACATCATTATTTTTTAATCCATATCCCCTAGTTATCTTTAATGAAAATAACACCCCTCCCCTCTTGCAGCTCATCTCTTCTCTGATGATGCGTTTACTGGCAGGAGGGCGGGACAACCTGTCACTCACATGGCATAGACCAATAACTAATGACAATGATCCAATCAATTGCGTTATCATTCAAGAATCAAAGTCAATTCCCCTATGGAGAAAATGAATGGGTTTTTCACTTCCTGGAAAATGAAAGTTGCTCTGTAAATGAGTCAGAGATATTTTAGGTTTCTTTTTTCGTTTTTTTTTTTCATTAGAAATTACTGTATATTTTAAACATGCTAAATAGTATAACTATTATAAATACTATGAATAAAAGATATGGATTAAAAAGAAACCAAAATAAAATTTTGATTTCATGTGGTATTTTAACGACTGCTCCCTTCGTTTTCTTAGAAGACAGGTCAGTGCGCATGCGCTCACTTATGGCGACTATTTAAAGCCACCCATCTACTACTGACAGATAATCCTTTCCGTTAGCTTCATCAACGGAAGAGTGCAGCCCTGAAGGGCTACTTAAATCAAACCAGGCTCTAATGGCAGCGATAAGCGTGATAAGTTCAAACCAATATATTATTTCCATTGTAATTTCTACGATAAGACAACATAAAGTGGGGGCAATGAGCAAAGTCCCACGCTTAAATTACTTCACGGCAGTAAAGATTTAAAGTTGGTCGTGACGTTTAATAAGCAACTGACTGACACCTCATATGACTGACCAAATAATCAACAGCAGAAGCATGAGACTGTCCAGGCAAGCATGTAATGTGAAAAAACAGCAGGGAAATGAGAACATATCTTCAGCTCTATCGCACTGATTAGTATCACTAGCTTAGCTTAGCTGTATAGAGAGAGGCGTGCCGAGGATTGATTGGACATCATCAGCTTGTTCAGCAGATTTAAACCCCCATGCGAAGTACATATGTACGGTCGACCGACAGCTAGTATCTCAGGTCTTCACGGTTTACATCCACACCCTTGTCCCGTGTAAGGGTGTCTGTGCTCCTTCGGCATGGCATGAAGGATCTACGGAGCGAGAAGTGCGCTAGGCCCCGTGTGATCTGCTCCATTCACTCGCGCTTCACTTCACTATCTGTGTATAAAGCCGCTGCTTCACGTACCTGCGGTGGTGTCCTCGCGGTTATTGTTATTGTCGGGATGTAAATGCGTTCCTGAAGGGGAAGCGCTGTGGACTGCGGCTGTGGCCCGGTTGTAGGTGGCACGTCTGCTGGTTTCGCTTTGGCAGGGTCAGGTCAGTGTGGAATGAAACGCACAGTGAGGGAAGAAGACGGAACTCTGCCAGAGACACCGGGGGTTACGGAAATCTCGCGAGAAGAGCAGTTCTTGCTGTTAGGGAATGGGTTGGGCTCGCTCGGTCAGAACAGCACAGCTAATGAACTTTATTTGTTTTATACATTTTATTTTAACCCTGTAAAGCTTGACGTACAATAATATTCATAAAAGTCTCATTTAAAAAAAGAAAATCTAAAAGTTGCATGTTTTTTTTTTATCCTACAATGATGAATCCATCAGGCTTTTATGACCTATATTATAATATGAGAATTCGGAGCTAATTTGGATGGAAAAAACAGCTCAGTTTCATTGAGAACCAAATTGAGTGGATATTTATATGGTCAGAAATTTTGTAAGTCAATGAGATCTGTAGATCCAGAAAGGTGTGTTGAGGCAAGTTGGAGCTAAAACGTGCAGGACAGTGGCCCTCCAGAACAAAGTTTTGACACCCCTGAGTTAGGGTACAGTTAGCCCAAATTACATTTACCTCTCTGGGCTGGACGTCTAGTAAGGAGGAGCTAGATGTAAGCATTCTCTGCACTAAGCAGCCTCTTGTTTTGTCTCAAGTGAACACCAGTAATGTTTGTTTAGGTATAAGAGCAGCAGAGATGACCAATTTACCACCAGAAGTTATTCAGGAGACCAAAGCTATCTCAGCTAAAATCAGCCAAAACTGGGTATGTTATAATTCATGAATTATATATTCTAGAGGTACAGGAGAAAAATCATATCCAGATAGCCTGCAGAGTTAGTTTTTTCTAACACACATTTATAATAGCTACTTTAATATCCTAATTAAACTAAGGTATAAACCTGGCTTCATTTAAGCCCTGTCTGTGAAACTGGGCCTATATCTCCCAATAATATGTCTTGATAAGATGATATTGAAATGCATAGTTTTTGTGATCAAAGAGAGATCAAGAGGTGCATCATGACCAAACCAGTTGAGAACCACTGGTTTATCACCTCAAAGTGGAACACATGGACTCATATAGTTTTGGTCTGTTTAAATTAACATTTGATTTATTTGATTGGTGGAACAATCTAAACTTGCATACTCTCTAAACTTGAAAAAAAAAAACTTTTATGAACTTGGAATAAAAATAATATATATATATATATATATATATATATCAGGAACAACTTCCTTAGATCATTTCCTTAGAACAACTTAGATCATCTAACTTCCTTAGATCATTTATCTATTTTCAACAAACACATTTTCAACACACTGAAATGTTCCTACACCACCAACCCATTTCCCAACCCAGACCTCACTCCTCTATCTCAACTGATTCTGTAGCACTCTGAATTTCAGCCTCATACTGTCTTTTCAAGCCCTTCAGGTACTGACGTAGGCTCTCTGGGTCCAACCGCGAGTTACGGGCCGTCTGCAGCAGTTTGGTGGCTAGACGATAGTCTGCCCTTTGTTTGCGAGTGGCAGGGTCACTATAATACTTGGCCTGTGGACAAGACAATGGAGATATAAGGTAACTAACTCTGCAGGCTATCTGGATATGATTTTTCTCCTGTACCTCTAGAATATATAATTCATGAATCACAACATACCCAGTTTTGGCTGATTTTAGCTGAGATAGCTTTGGCCTCCTGAATAACTTCTGGTGGTAAATTGGTCATCTCTGCTGCTCTTATACCTAAACAAACAGCAGACAGCATACTTATACTATGCCCTAAAAGTATGTATGTACCTAAAAGTGTCTGTGAAAAAAGTATACTTTTGAGTGTGTAGCAGAAGAAAAGGCAAGCTTTAGGACATACTACTAAGTCATGATTGTGTCTTTAACGGACCTCGCTGTCTCTTAGTTATGTGCATCCTGTGACCATTTAAACTAAACTGCCCTGTCAATCATCTTGTCACAGTTAAAAACTTTCACATACAATTTAATTTCCTACAATATCGGAGAGAAATGCAGTAGCACGTTTGTTGTAGCTGGTTGTCTATAATAAGTATTGTATTGGAGTTTATTTACTATAATTTATGAATTTGTTTATTATTATTATTAATATTTGTATTATTTGGTATGTGCGTATTCATATTTGTATTTATGTACTTATTTAATTATCATGCAGGAATGTATATGTCATCACGTGGGCGGAGAAGGAAGTGACATGAAAGAACAAATGTTTTGGATTTGGGAATGGTGGTTATTCAGTTTTTTGACGACTTTGTTAACTTTGAAATTATTAACTTAATTTAGAAATGTTTCAAAAATAAAGCTTTTGAAATTAAGACTGTGTTTGGTGTGGAGTTCATGCAAAATAATCGTTTCCTGAACATCAAAAGTCTGACACAGCGTTAATGGGTCTTTCATGCAAAGAACTCTCCTCATGTGTTTACATAAAGATGCATTTAAAAGTTAATGACCAAACGTATCTTTATTAAAGTTCACAATGCTGTTGCAGATGAAATATCTTGTGGATAACATTGAATAAATATATTTTCATTATGTTAGATACTGATGATTAATCACTCAAATCACTTCTAAAAATTTCTACTTAACCATCATTCTCGCACATCTGCAATGTTTGTAGTTTAACACTCTTTTGTTTTTAAAACCATGTTTGTAGTTCTAATCGAATCCTTGTCTAACGTGCAATGGGTTGTGGGCAATATTAGAGCGTGCATTGATCTGCACTTCAGAGTCTAACCGGAAAGAGTAGAGCATACGGGTCTCTTTGGAATATTCGTTTCAATATACTATCATTTGGAACACACTAATTCTAATTTCGAATAGTATTTAGAACAGATAGTATGCGAATTGGAATGCAGCAAATGTGTTGGCTTAACTTATTCCACACGTTCAACAGATATGCAAATGTGACTTATTTAAGTATATAAGTTGCCATAAATGGTCATAGAATAGATTAAATAGTTTCGAAAAGCTTGGAATAGTCTTAACCCACCATAGTGGCGCTCCTCTGAATGTCCTCGGGTGAGCTGGTATGTGTAGACCACATTCTCTGCTCTACCATCTCCTCCGCGGACGTGCTGAACCTGCATGTGCTGGTTCTCCACGTTGGGGTAAAGATTTTCCAACTGGCACAGTTCAAGAAAGTGCGTTGCAAAGAGTGTGAAGGCCTACAGCACAAGTTTTGTTAGCCGCTTACGGAAATAAGTGAGTAGAACAATGTTAAATTAGCCAATCAAGTATGTTTGGTATATATGAATATTTATTTGTTTTCTATATGCTTCTTTATTGTATAAAATATTCTCTTGATAAAATAAATACAGCACCTTAGTACTGATGAGGAATTCACAGATGCTGTGGCAGATACCAATGCCTTCCTCTGGACTGGTGCCTCGGCCCAGCTCATCAATAATGATAAGTGACTTCTTGCTTGTATTGTGGATAATGTAAGACACCTAGAAGTGCAGTTAAGTATTTAAATGAGGAAAATACTTTTTTAACTGCATGTGAGACTACCTTTAGACCTATCTGTTTATGCCTCTATATAAAAGTGCTGTGTATATAGCTATTTATTGATACATGTCAAGACCGCATGTAGTAAAACAATTACATGGAAATATCCGAATTGACACAAAAATACATGTGTAAATACACATTTTAAGACTTAAAACTATAATTTAAGGTTTCATTGATGAAATTTCAATAAAATGTTCTTGATTAGCTGTATAAAACCGTTTGTTCCACAATTTACCTCTTTCATCTCAACCATAAATGTGGACGAGTTGGTCTCAAAGTCATCGTCTACTCCTATTCTGGTGAATATCTGATCCGCAATACGAACAGAAGCGTACTCCGCGGGCAGAAAGGATCCTGGGACAAAGACATTCTGAATAAGGTTGTTTTGATCCCATAGGACTAGGAGACAGCTGATGATAAATCATGCAAATTAATCCATTATCCTAAACCAAGAACCTACCCCAAACATGCTCATCATTACCACAGTCATTGCGAGTATGGAAATAATAGTGATCAAGTGACCAAAAGAGTAGTAAACAAGTAACTCTGTGTACCTATCTGAGCCATTATCTGGCAGAGGGCCACCTGCTTAAGGTAGGTGGACTTGCCACTCATGTTGGGGCCTGTCAGGATCACAAAACTGCTTCCCTCAGAGATGTAGATGTTGTTGGCGATGGGTTCTTGAACAGAAATGCGCTCCAGGATGGGGTGGCGACCCTGCTTTATTGCCAATGTATCAGTGAACTCAGGACGCACTGAAGGAAACAAAAAATTAAGTTATTATTAATTAAAAAGAAATCAATGCTGTCGGTATCTAAAGAAAGAAAAATGTATTTCCTCACATGAATGTAATAATCTACATTACGCATATATGGCGCTTAACATTACCGTAATTTGAGACAGTGCAGGCGTGAGCCAAAGAGAGGATCATGTCCAGCATTGACACAGCATCAGACAATTTGTACAGGCAGTAGATGTTTTCATAGACCTCATTTAGTAACTTGGACACAACCCTGCAGTGCACATACATACCATCTATGATTAAAATGATTCTTGCACTAGTCATCTTACTTTGAGCTACCATATACTCACACATAAGACATGTGAAAAATGTCTTTCAAAGCCTCCTCACAGTGGTCATTCATTTTCATGAGGTCTACAGTGGTGAACGAGCAGTTGTTCTTCTGTCTGGTCACCTATAGTGTTGAGGTTAAGCCCATTAGTACTTGCTATTCAACACTATAATCCTGTAAAGCCGGATTTTTCATATGAAATGAAAAATATAATTATTTGCATAATGTAGTTAAAAACACAAATTCAAATAGAAACAGGAGACTTTAAATAAGCATAAAAAATTCACAGAAAAATCTGAACACAGAAACAGAAACTACACAACACAAACAACAAAGGGTTTATATACACATTGAGATTTAATTAACCAGACCAAAAACAGGAGTGGGATTAATCAGGAACTGTTGACCAAGGCACACAGGCAAAATGGGAGGAGGGAAAGCTAAACTAAAACACGATGAAGCTAAACAGACATAGATATGTCACATTTAATACTCAAATTTATGGATAATTAAACAGGGCTACACAGTGTGACATACATATACGTAACTGTATATTATATGTAACGTGCAACACATTTCGTTTTGTTTTTATGTCAAGCATCTTCTGGAAGATTTCAAGATTTTTGGAAGGAAGTAGAAACTAAAAATGTGTCTTTTGTGTATTTTTTATTTTAAAGATATATATATAATGAATACAGATATATTATATACATTTATTAAAGTATAATAGGGAAATATATATTAGCGCAGTTAATAATTCTCTTGGGAAACTATGAATAAGAAAAATCGGCTCTTTGTGAAGGTGAAAATGCCTTGCTGATGCCAGAGGTCATGCTTTGTTGACGGCAGCAGCAGTGCGACACTGGTGTCTTGTGTTGCCAGATTCTTTTTTTTTTTTTTGGCTAAAGATTAAAGCCTGTTTACGTGTGTTTTATCCGGGTTTTCGCCTGGAAGGCTCTATAAAAATTTGGCACACTTTTGTACGAAGTTAGACTGAGAGAGCGTGCGTTCACAGACACCAGAATGAACACGTTCACAGTAACGTTCATCAGGCAGTAATACAGTACGTTCAGTTCACGTTCGCCCAAAATCATGCACAACACTGCCAATAGAGCACCTTTGGGATGTGTTAGAACAGCGGGAGCCACTCGCTCTGATGCTTTCATGACAATATGAACCAAAATTTCTGCAAAATGTTTGAGTAACTTGTTGAATCAATGCAACAAATAACTAAAGCAGCGCTGAAGGCAAAAGGCGGTCCAACCGGCGGTACTAGCAAGGTGAACCTAATAAAGTGGCAGGTAAGTTTATATGCTACATATTACTAATAACACTGTAAGAAATATTTTGGTTACATTGCCCCAAACAGGTTTTTTAGCAGTGTTGATCATTTAAAGGCATTATATATGTCCTTATTAAATATGATACAGGCTCTATAGGGTTAACCTATAGCCAGGAAAGTGCAATATTTATTGTCTAGATTTTTTTTTCTTACATGCACACAGATTATGTATTTAATATTTGTTCCTTTAAACACTTATGAAAAAGTTTCAATATGTCTTTGCTCACTTTGATGAACTCCTCTGGTAACTTCCCCGCAGGTAAGACCACACCCTCCAGCCTCATCTGAATGAAGAAGCCACGTGCTTTGTTGAAACTAGTTCGGAGGGGTAAGCTGTACTTCTCTCCAAGCTGAGCCACTAGTTCTGATCATCAACAACACATACACGTCAATAATGCTAATGTTCATGACCAACATATAAACATGAAATTGGGAAAGATCTGATTAATCACAAACTATATGGACTGCATAACCAACTGTGGCATTTTATATGAACATATGCACACATGACCAACCACATTTACAACACCAAACGTACAAACTTTTTATTAAATTATGAATTTAAGGAACATTAAGAGTTGACTTGAGGAACTAAAATTCAATACTAAAATTGAATGTATTTAATAATTTAACATGTTGTGGTGGTGTGGCTATAGCAGGTGAATTAGTAATTCACAATAACCTACATATTCATCCTTTTCATAGTCCACTAAAGTTAAGAAGCTCACCTGCTATGTCATCTATCACCTCTGTGTAGGCTCGTCGTGCAATATCTAAGAATTCGCTGACGTTGGGCCGCACAGCATAGCACTTTTGTGTGCGCATGGTCAAACTGCCTTTCATATAGCTGGTGTCATCATTAATCAGTGATTTGATCTGATCCAGAATGCCGTTAAACCTAATCCAACACAAATGAAAAATGTTAAGGATAAAATATTAAAACCTGATGGGCTGCATTCTAGAGCTAGAACTAAACCATCAAATGCACATATGAAAGTACTAATTGAACTCTTTACTCATACATGGGATTCATTGTGCCTCCTGTGTTAAAGTTCACATAGCTAAGTGTGTAAAGCTTTTTACCTGCTGTCTTCAAGTGAGGTAAAATATGCTTCCAACAAGGGTGTTTTGGAATGTTGCAGCATCGCCTTATCAGGGAGAAATTTATTTGCTTACATTAACATCGTTGCTTATACTGACCAAAATGTTAAAAATTAGATTTTATGTCTAAACAATGTCAATTTTGATTTAATGTTGACTTAGCACTGAAGTGAGATGGCTAATTCTCTTATTAATAGATTAAAGCATAAAAAGTTTAGTTAAAATATGGATTCTTTTCAGATTATGTACAGTCCTTTCAATGATTTGTAGTCTTACAGTATTTTCTAAAAATGTCCAAGTTACCTTCAGTGATGGGACCAGTTCTAGAATGTGCTTTAGCTTAATTATTTGCGTTATTTTTGCTTCAGCCACCAGTACCTACAAAAAAAAAAAAAAAAAGTTATTAACTGTTAAACTATTGAGGGTCACTAATTCAAACAACAATGGTTTAAAAGTCATTTTGAAGACGAAAAGCTTGAATTTATGAGCCAAACGTCTCTCACTAAAGGATGTTGTCTATAATCTACTCAATTGTGTCTGCTACTTAGCTATAATGTAAAAATTTGTACCCTGCAATTGTTTTACCTGATTTATCTCATAAAATAGTTTTATTGGTATAAATGAATGGATTTAGGTTCATTCAGTGATGTTAAATATTCTTTTTGACTTAAAATCAGTTAATTTAGATGGTACCATTTGTAGGTTACTGTTTTTCAGTGTAGACCTGTAGACAGTTCAAAATTCTCTCACCAATGATATTTTAAATTAAATTAATTTTAAAAATGAGCAAAAACAATTACCCACTCCATTGCCCTCATAAGAAAGCAAGCGCTTTAACTTTAGTACTCTGTAAAATGTGTTCCTATGCCTTAGTACCGTCTCTTGCTTTGGGATCTGAACAAGAGCAGACAGCAGCTCATCTACATCCAGGAACTGTGCAATGGCTGTGAATAAAAGCATTTAAAAAACATTAATAATGTCCTACCATGGAGTGGAGCCCAGCAAATATTTAGCCATCTGGTAAACATTAATACATTATGATTGTGGGCGCAATTCTAGGTAGGTGTGATCCAGGAAATTAAGAGCTATAAAGATCACCAACAAATTTCTCAATAACAAGTAAGGCCTGTTTCACACTGCACACATAAGCAGCAAGTAAGCAGTGCATATTATTTTGCCACCCATGTTTACAGTTTGCAGTATAGGCTGTAAGGTTTTGGTACAGAACCTGTTTTTCTTGTTTTTTTTTTTTGTGTCAATACTCAATAATTGACTACAAAAATGGAGAGTTTGGGTTTGTAATTTGGCTAATCCCTGAATGTCAATATGGCTCCCTCCTCATGTATATTAGATTACATGATGATCGAGTTTGCCACAATTCTCAGTGGACCACTTCTGATAACCATGGTTAAATACTCAATACAGCGACCTAAAAATAACTTATTTTTTGTATTGCTGTTACACAGTAGAAACACCATTAGTGTGAAAGTGCAACATCAGCCTGCTGTTGCAAACCACTTACATGCTGCTTACACATTGTGGTGCAATAGAGACCTAATAAACACTTAATCGTCTGAAACTGCAGCCTCAAAGGGTAAAACCAGTAGGAAAAACAGCCTGAAACAAAGTCTCTTAAACTGACAAATAAAATGTAGGCCTAGTATTTACCATTCTTCAGACCAAAGAAGAGCTCCTCATTCTGCAACAACTCCTGGAAATGAATCAAAGAGAAGATTATTTAAATAATGAGTGAGAGAAAAAAAAACATATAGATAACAGGTGATCACCTCTATGGTGTCCAAACGTGAGTTGATAGTGACCTCATCCAGCAGAGGCTCAAGAATATTGGAGCGTAACCGCCGCTCTCCACCACCAGTCTTAGTGTAGTTTAAGACCCCAAACAGAGTGTGCTCACTTCTGCATATAACAGCATACGGTTACTGACATTAAAATCTGCATGAAACAGAAGTTTTGATAGCCTTTTCTTCCTTACAATGACATATATCTGAGTGAAATGGCAAGAAAATGTAGGGCCCTCACTCCAGTAAACACATCATCAGTGAAGAGGGCTCTGTTTACACCTGGTATTAAGATGTGTTTTGTCGATCGAAATACAGGTGTAAACGGGTCTAAACCGATTTGAGCTTTTGAAGTGTTTAGAGCACTTCCAGAGGTAGTCGAAAACGCATTCGAACGGATTGGTTTAATAGTGTAAACGCTCATGTGATTGAATGTGTTTAAACAGCCACAAAAGACAGTCTACTCTACGCCTACTGAGCTAATCCATAAATATTATGGAAAGCATGATAGCCAGACGGGATTTAAACTTTGTCAGCTGCAGACTCAAATTTGGTTTGAAGACGATAAACGTAACAGGCACGATGTTCTCTAAGCATTCCTGATTTCTAACACACTCACAGTGTTTGGTGTGGTCTTGTGGCTATCTGAGCAGAAATGAAAGCTGCTGTTCTCCATATGTTTTTCCATCGTCGCTGGACGCGTTCATATGTAAATTGTACAAGCTCAGGGTCCATTAATCCTAACCCTTACCTTGTCCATTAAATCAAAAAGCCCAGACATTTAGGCTACCAACCCATAGACCCCCCCCTCGAATAAATCAGAACAGAAGTTGTTGAAAGTGAACAAAAGAGGTTAATTAAAATACTAGGTGTAAACGAGTATGTCTCCCTTGTATACATCTAGTTGTGATAAAATCGACCAAATACCAGGTGTAAACAGGGCCGAGAAGAGACGTCTTAGCAAGAGGGAAAGAGGAAGTTATTTTAATTAAAGATTATTGAGTGCACATGAATTTAAAAAAAAAGGACCTGACACTTCTGTCACACCAAAATGAAATCTGTGTATTTTTTTACATTCTTTGTCTATATTTTAATATGATAAACTGTGTGAAATGGAGCTGATCTTGTGGCATGGGATCTTTGTGGATGACAGGTGTTCAAATTCTATTGAACTAAAACTGCGGACACATAATGCTCTGTGTCTCTAACTTCTAACCTGTGATCTCTGCGGTTCACAACTAGTTCCAAGTTGCTGGCTGATATCGCGTCAATCATGGCTGTCTGCTCACTGCCAGTGAAGACCACTTTCAGTGACTTAGGAGCATATATTGAGCTCTGAACAAACTCAAAGTATTTTAGTAGGGCAGATGCAGATGCCAGGCAGTAGTATCTATAGACAGACAACATGTTTTATTTGTTATTGTTTTAGTCATGTTCATCATATATGATATGTCTTACAATCAGGGGTGCAAGATCCAGTTCCTGGAGGGCCACAGCCCTGCAGAGTTTAGCTTCAAACCTATTTAAACACACCTGATCCAGCTAATCAAGTCCTTCAGGCTTATTTGAAAACTACAGGTATGTGTGTTGGAGCAGGTTTGAAACTAATCTTTGTGTGACTATCAAAGAAGTGAGTTTTGCAACACTGTCTTGTGTCTTACATATGTTAATATTATATTTATGGAAATACATTCATATCTATCGAAATGGAAATGAAACAGGCACATATTTCCCCCCTTCACAGTGAAAGGTCACATCTGAAACAGATCCCTTGAAGTGCATAAAACCCAAGTTTATCATAAAGATGGAGGGCTTACTTGGTTTGCACCTCCATCAGCACAGTGCTGAACTCAGGGACACAGAGCTGCTGTGTGTACTCCAGGCCCTTCTTCTCATTGAAATACTTCCTCAGAACAGGAGTGAATGTGACTGACTGCACAGGTAAACAAGGAAATATTCTGCACTCAGTCAGTTATATAAGATTCTAATTCTAAAACTCGGTGTGCAAAATCTCTGACAATAGTGCTAATTTACAGTCTCTATGGTATGAGTCACCCAGCCCTGATTTATTGACGAGATAGAGGTAAAAAAAACAAAACAAGTATGATACCGGGAAGGAGTCAGTGATGAGGCTGTAGAGTTTTGTTCCTTGTCCTTTCACACTAGAAGTGTCTGGCATCAGAATCTCCATTGGCATCAAGTTATGCAGCTTAGTAATTACCTGTATTAACATTTAAAAGCGTTGGTGTCAGTTTTACAAAGTGTATAGTGTCTACTGCATTAAATTGTCAAAAACTCATTATCTTAGCTTTGCAAGTCCATTCCACACGTTTTTTTTGCACTTGCTCTGCAGACTGAAGCAAAGTCTTTGACTGAAGACATGAAAAGCAGCCGATCGCAGTACGAAACTTAGGCTAGCTGTTGCTCAGTGTAGATGCACTTTGGGAGTTTTTTTTCCATTCCAACTTTCTATTCCAATTGTATTACTTATATTCATGAATCATGAGAATCGATCGGGTCACTCGCACCGGTGCGCCTAAATATTTTTTCAGTCGCACGCAGAGATATATAATGTATTTACACTAAAAATGTAATTAATTAAAATGAAAGTAAAATGCTAAGCAAAGAGCAAATTCTGTTAGCAAATAGTGGATCTATTGTTTTAAAAGAACACAACATTTTGATTAAATATTAAAAAGTATATATATATATATATAAATGAAACCTGTGCAGATGAAATTGTTTTACATATTTTTTTATTTATTTTAATCACTCAATAAAATATTGCTTTCATAATGTTTGTTGCTTTCACAATAAATTACCCTTACAGAGAACACGCGGTTTGGAGAAAGGATGCATCTTTACCTTAGCATAAGTTCCAGTGTCTGCAAACTGTGAGAGCACCAGCTCTGGGCATTTGACATTGATACTGGCCATGCCAATCTCCCCCCGAGCAAAACCACGTCCCTCCACAACAGCCACTATCACAGAGGACGCATGAGACGCAGATGCAGATGAAGACGTTGTCACTAGATTAAAAGAGTTGCACAGTGAGTTATCAGTTTATTTAGCACCTTCATTCTAATCAAAGGAATTAATCAGGACTAGTGACATACATTCAGAAAAATGTATAAGTTAGTTAATTAGTAAGTTGCGTACTGTTGAGGTCTCGCTGAGGGGTTCGGCCAAGGTGTGAGAGTGCAGGTGTGGAGTGGGCAGATGAACCCACAGAAGAGCCAATCCTGTCTGCGCTTCCACTGATTTTCAGCTGCCATTGAGCTAAGGAGAAAGAGTAGGACTATCTAACTGATGTGGGTTTTCATGCACACATCTTATCTACTGATCAGAATAGCAGATGTTCAATACCCAAGAGTCTGAAGGTGCCTTTCCACTGCACACAACAAACAGCAACTGATGGACCAAAGGGTTTACTACAGGGCGACTACATTAAATGTGATACGCCGATGTGATGTATTACAATGTATACCAATCAAATCAGTGTGCGTGAGGTGAGAATTAGTAATAAAAATAAAGTACTTCATCAGAAACATTTAAACCTTAATTTGCAGACAAAAAAGACACACCCAAAAATAAGTGATACATTATTAAATTAATATTTATATTTTTAATGTCTCCATATGTTTATTACCTTCACAATTATTGGTAGTCAATTCATTTCATTTGTACTTTATGCATAGCTGTTTACTGTTCGCATATATATATTTATGGAGAAAGTTTTCTGTTGCACTCTTTTATTGAAGACATGAATAAATATTGCAAGTCAGTGTGGGTAAAACACTACCTGGAGTGCTGCTGCCCGCCCCGGGCTCAGAGCTCGAACCCGGCGTCACCTCTTCAGCGCTGCTGAAGAACATCTGGCTGCTTTCACAGGCCTTTATAATATAACGAAAAACTGTGAAATGACCCAAATTAGATCAAAGTAACTATTGGCAAATTAGTAAACTTCTAAGTATAATATTTAAGTTATAACAACAAAAGTATAATATTAAATTATTATATAATAAAATTTAACAAAAAAAGTGAAGACACGAGAGGGTTTGCGTGTGACATCACCGTCTGCCAGAGTGACTGCGGTTACGCCCAAGAAGTGGCAAAACTACTGAGCTGCAGCAATGTGCATCTTTGTTCTATTTTTTTAATTAAGACAAAAATGACAAAGATTTTTTATCTGTCACTTTGGTCTAAATGTCTGCCATTCTTTTTTATTTTAATAAAAATAAGGCTTTGTTTTTAAAATAGGGAAATTAGTTTGGCTGTAACAGTCACTTGGAAAATAGCAAAACCAACACAAAAAATAAACGTAATAAAATCATGAATAGTGATTTTCCTAGAAAAAATATTGTGAATTTTTTTTCCAAATTGCCCCACCAAATTGGAATTTTACCATAATCTACTACCAGTTAGAGTTGATTTGCTATTACGCCATCTAGTGGTTAAATGTAGGTACTGTAACATTCGCCAGGGCATCAAATTCAACTCCTTTATGGAAAAATATAATTAGTTCACACAAATAGTTCAAACCTGAAATGGATTTGTTGAAAAAAAACAAAACAAACAAACAAACAAAAAAAACTAAAGGATTCTCACCGCTCGGCTGTTACTGTAAACACCAGATGAACCCACAGAAGAGCTGATCCTGTCTGCTCTTCCTCTCATATTCAGCTGCCATTGAGCTAACGAGAAATATTATTAAATTATTAATTTAATATTTATATTTTTAATGTTGTCTCCAACAATATTGGCGGTCATTTGTACTCTCTATGCATTGATATTCATTGTTTGTATTTATTTATTCACAGTGAAAGTTTGCAGTTGCACTCTTTTATTGAAGACATGAATAAATATTGCAAGTCAGTGTGGGTAAAACACTACCTGGAGTGCTGCTGCTCGGCCCGGGCTCAGACCTCGAACCCGGCGTCACCTCTTCTGCGCTGCTGAAGAACATCTGGCTGCTTTCACAGGCCTTTATAATATACTGAAAGAAAAACGTTTTTTTTATGAGAAAAAAGATTTTTTTTTTACTTGGGTCAAAGTAACTATTGGCAACTTAGTAAATTGCAAAAAGTATAATATTTAAATTATAACAACAACAAAAAGTAAATACACTATCGCACCCCAACTCCCCTAACTTCCAAACTGCAATTAGATTTTATAATCAGTGTTATATAAGATGAGATGATGGTCGTATATATAATGCTTTGAAAATTTGACATTTGAGAACAAGACTTGTTCCTGTTGTTGTTTACTTAATAAAGTAAATCAAATCAAACTCTTGTTGTAAGCCTAAAGTTTATATAAATTGTGAACTTGCACCTCAAATCTGATTGAAATCACATTCATCATACAAGTAACTTAGCTATAATATAACTTACACGATTTGCCTGGGGCAGTACACACTTTTCACTGATGTAACGTTAACGTTACATTAGGTAAAGAACTAACGTTACCAGAACTACTTCTGGAACTACTTTACATTCAATTTAAAGTTGATTAACTTAGCTGTTATATGTAAATATAGGTAAGTTAACTTACTGTAACATTTGCCAGGGCGTCAAATTCGACTCATTTGTGTTCCTTAGTATAGTTAACACAAATAATTAAACATTGAGAACAATAACGAAGCTTGTTTATGTTTTATTTAGTGCTTTTACGATAACGTTTCATTAAGGTAACGTCTGAAGTGGACGTTAACTAACGTTAAATGATTCTCACCACTCGGCTGTTACTGTAACGTTAAGTAAACCACCTGCTCTGCATTTACCTCGAATAAACTTTCCACTTCTTTTGTAATATTGCTACTTGTATTAACTAACTATAAACTTATTCAGCCAACCCTTACATATTTGTGAATTTTATGTAGTATAAAACTATATTTTGCCAGAGACTATTTATATTTTACTCACCTCCAGAAGCAAACAGATTAACGGTCACCGGTCGCCCGGTTTAAAATTTTCGCGCCTCTCAACTAGCCGCGGAAACGTATTTTGACGTATGAAAAAGAGGGGAGCAGTCACGTGACTAGCGTTATCACGAATAATCTCCTTAAATGGCATTAATGATCGTTAACTCGTCTTAAATTTTGGCGCTGGACAAACATAAATTAAGACACTACCTAAAATGTTAAACTTCAAAAGGCTTAGATTTCATTAAATAAATACGAGTGCTTCACCTTTTAAAGCTATTATCTCTGTAAAGCTGCTTTGAAATCTGCATTGTAAAAGCGCTATATTGATAAGGTGTCCTGACTTGACTTGATAGTTAACAAAAACTAAAACCATCAAGACATTACTTGAAATAAATGTTAATCAAATGTTAATTCAAAATATTATATATATATATATATATATATATATATATATATATACACAGTATATGGTTTCCTTTTTCATGATATGATTTATGATGTGAAAGTAAACAAAAGCTTTTCCACCACACTGAAAAGTTAAGTGATCCTGCTTTATTACAATTATCCTGAATCTACAGTTTCGAGTCAGCATGGAGGGCAATGAATGGATCCTCCTCTGTGTGGCTGATGTGGAAAGTGGCACGTCCATCAGAACCCACTGACACCCGTTTCCCTGTGCAACTGTCCCCACTCTTGTCTCCAGAGATGATATCACAGTATGTGCCCACAGGCAGGCCAGTGTCCAGCGTCACGTTCAGTTCCCTGAGGCATTAATCAAAGCCAGTTAGTCACCATGAATCAAAATTGACAATTGTTCTTCTTTTTATGCACTTTTAGAAAAAAAAGGTTCAGTGGTCTAGGTTCTTAACTCCATTTTAAATAAACCATTTATGCCAAAAAGGTTATATATAAAGATAAATGTCTTAGTTGTGATAAAGAATGTTGACAAATTGTTTAATTGATAAAAATGTAATTAAAAATATAACTGCAAGCAGCAATTAATTCCTCACATCTCACAATTTTTTTTAATCACCATGACCCATAGGGGCTTCGTACATCTCTCATCTCTTCTCCTTTCTAATGATGCGTTTACTGCCTTGAGGGTATGATCCATCACTTGCATCACATCACAGCAATAGCAAACCACAACCATTAAATCAATTTCCGTTGAACAAAATCAAGTCCCGGCCTACATCTAGCCCTTATTCGAGAAGCCGTGATTTCACTTTGATACGTATAGGGAAGAAAAGGCTGTCACATTTGTATTATTATAAAATATTTCACATGTTAACCATGCTTGGGTATTACAAGTTTCTCACCAATCATCATTGTTGATGACAATGAATCCCTTGCTGCCGCGGCTAAAGGCAATCTGATTATTACCGTTGTCCCACCATTTGGAGAGAGGCTGGCCATTGACCACATTGCGAAAAATCACCATATTCCTGGTTTGGGGAAGAGAGAGAATTGCTTGGATTTGACATTGAAATCAAGAAAATGTGTCCAGAAAAATCCCACCCACCTGATTTGACGCCATCTGTGCTCACATATCCACTTGTCCCCACAGGTGGAGTCAGGGTTGATGGGTATTGCCTTAGTGGATCCATTGGCATTGCTTGGAGGGCCCATCCAGTCATTCTGATCCTTTGTTTTATTTCACAAGAACATTATTTGTTCAGGTTTTACTTGTGTGGTATGAAATAATCAATTGGGTGTTACGGGCTAAAGGCAAACCTTTAAGAAAATGCTTCTCTGTACTATTATTATGCTTTTAGCCCCAACCTGGGACGCTTCAAATACCATATGTTTACATATTCCTCAGTTATTGAAAATCGGTTGATTTATTTCCTTGAACAAAACAAAGCCATTAACAGGACCTTTGTCTTAAAAAGCATTTGCTAATTTTAATGATTATCATTTACTACCTAAAGCTACAGTATAACATTTCAACGCTATCTCACAACCAATTCTTACGAGTGATTAAAAAGTGGCTAATTCGTACTAATTCATATGACTTCATTTGTACGAATTCGTACGATTTGTCTAAACCAATGTGATGGGTAGGTTTATGGGCGGGGTCAGGGGTAGGTCATTCGTACGAATTCATACGAATTGGCCAATTCATAAAATATGTACGATTTAGCAAGCAAAAATTGTACTAATTCGTACGAGTAAGGTCATAAAATTCGTACGAATTGCCGCGAGATCGGGTTGAACATTTTGAAAATCATTCATTATTAGATCAACCTAGCACAGAATCTATTTTCCGTTGCTGCCCGCAATTGCTTCTTGGATAAGCCAAATTTCCACCTGCACAGTAAAACATGGATATTTTGCTGGAGATTGTGCCATTTAGTGATTGAGGGGATTTATCGTAGTGCGCCATTAGCCCTGTTGTAAGCTAGTCATTATTGTAATGTGAAGCACATGGGTTTCATCAACTAGAAGCATCACCTTTCCATTCACCAGATGTCGATCCCAACGGTAACTAGACATGACTCTGGTGACACCATATGGGTGAGCCAACATGAATCCTGATGCAATCTTATAAAGCCTACAAAAAAAATACACAATGTAAAACATACCACTCACAGTAGGATTAGTCAGAGTTCTTGGAAAATATTTTACCTAGAGTCCCAAAATGTCAAAACAGAAGCTCCACCAGCGCCATGGCCTCTTTGATTATCATGATTGTCCACAAACACCAAGGCTTTATCAGAGGGCATTAAACCCCAGCCTTCTCCCCAGTTCCTAAGACAAAACACTGTTTACAACTGCTTCAATAACTTTTATAAGCCAAAAGAGTGCAGAGCATGCTTATATCCAGCTAACTTTGTCTAACGTTCTGCCAAGGCTTTCCCTAAGTTATGAACAAATGTTCTTCCAGTAGTTAAATGCTACTACTCGTTCTAGAATGTTCAAAAAACATAAACATAATGTGTGCAAAATATTCTTAGAACATGTTTTTGTTATCTGTCGACACAAGTGACATTTTCCTGACATATCACTACATATGTAATATGGTAAATATTGCTAAATAAACCCATACACGGTAATCAGGAATTGTAGATTTGCTTAATGCTCAGTTGGCTAATACATTTTCTGGAGACCATAAAATAAATTAAATAAAAACTGTCAGTCTAGCAACAAGACAAACACTGAAACAGTATAACGATATTTTAGTACTAATCTGCAATCCAGATTAGTTTTTCGATGAACTATGTAGCTCTTTTTTAGCAGTTGACACCGCAACAGTTGTGAAGTGGCCCAGAATAACTATTCTCACTTGCGCTGGTATGAAAAGAGACATAAAAATTAAATTAAGACTTATTATTTGCGCTGGTATGAAAAGAGACATAAAAATTTAATTAAGACTTATTATCAGTGTTATGATTGAGACGAGAGACATTAAAAAGCACCGGTGTGTTGGCATGGGCAATATGTACAATAAAATATATGAGCACTCAATGATTCCCCAATCAGAAACGAATTTTCCAGATAGCATTAATACAGTTTACTATTGCATACTTGAGATAGCTTAGCTTTTCTTTGTCCCATTTACGAATGACTGTTCCCAGTTTTGCACTGTGCTTGAACTCCGTCACTCTTCCGAGATTAAAATATTCACTGGCTTTAATGGACTCCCCACCGAGGTCGATAACCTGAAGAAACAAAAATGTGTTAGTGGTTTAATAGCCATTTTAAGTAACTCTGGTCTGGAAGGGATGGTGATACCTCTTGATAAATAAAGGGCTTGGTGCCAGGTAAAAACCAAGTGGTATTCAGACTATTGAGTCTGCCGTAGATGTTACTAAGGTCGCCAGGCCACATATGCTTACAAGCATCTACTCTGAATCCAGCTACACCCATGTCGATCAGTTTGTTCATGTATTCAGCCACTTTTCCTCTAACATAGTCCTTCTCCAGGGCCAAATCCAGGAGACTCACCAAGCGACAATCTCTGACCTGTAAAGTCAAAATTAACAAGTCAAGCACAGCAGCAAAAAAAACAGCCCGTTAAACCGCTAGCAGGGGAATTGAAATCACTATGACACACACTGTGACTAGTTGCAGATGCAAGTGTTATTACATGGATTGTTTGTGTGTACACAAATCTGAGGATTGTCAGGGATGATAATGAACTTTAAAAAAGAGAAGCATGCACCAACACATCAGAAAACAAGAAACTATGAGTCTTTAAATATATGGAGGGTGATAAGCTTTCACCATAATGTGCTTCTTAATCTGACTTGAGCAGAATGATACAATTGTCTTTTGAAGAGCTGCTAGAATTTGTTTTATCACTGATGAACTTTGCAACATTATCACTGATATTGAATCATCATCATTGAACTAAACTGAGCTGACTAAAGACACTATGTCTTCTGTAGAGCTACTTTGTAGCTAAATTAAACGTGCAGTAAGAAGTGGATCGGACTTAGCAGCACAACACAATTGTAGCCCACAGTTTTTTTGTTTTGTTTTTAATTTTCAAATATCAAATTAAAGAATTTTTTAAGTCGCAATGAACTAGCAACAGCTATTTCTTCTGTATTGTGGCGTATATCTGAGTGAAACAACGTATTGAAAAAGAAAACAATTTAGGGCAGGAGCTTGGTTCTATCTGTTGGTAATTGATTGGATTGAGGCAAATCTAAATGTAAACTTGCAGTCAATTGTATGTAAAGGGAGGACTTTATGCCAACAAAATGGCTGGAGAAGTCCCGCATACGTCACCAGAGAATCTGTCATTTCACTGAAAGATCAAGTTTTGACATTTTAATTAAAAAGTTCATAGAGGTCAAAATAAAATAAAAATAAAAAGAATAAATGCACAAATTATCCGTTCACAGTAAGAATAATAACATGCATTTAGACAATAAATAGGGTGAATTTTCATTTCTTGACTTCATCGACTCATTAAAGCAGAAGGTAATTTTAAGGGTTTTTTAACCTGGAAAACATCATTGTAGTTTTCAATCTCTTCTTTGGCAGTTGTACACTTGTTGTCATTGAAGTCCCATGATGAGTATGGGACAGAGGGGAAGTCCTCCTTGTTGGCGTTGAAGTATGATCCACAGCTGGAGTGATTGCCCTCTCCACCAGAAGATCCACACATGTGATTTATGACTGCATCCACATATACATTCACCTGTAGCAAAGAAAAACACAGGAGATGCCGTCTCGTCGTGCGACTTTCTCTTTATAAGGAGCATTATGTGGTTGTCAGTATATGTGAAATGTACAAAATAGATTTTAATAGCTGCGTGGCCTTGCTAGTTCAGCAGAAAAGGGATATTGGATTTTTCAATTATTCTGGCAACCACAACAGCCAGATTTTTTCTTTTTCCTGTAAAAATGACAGGATTTTTACAGTAGTTTTGCAGTACCCCAACTTTG